CTGCACTCCAGTCTGGGTGACAGAGTGAGACTCCAACTCAAAAAAAAAAAAAAGGAAATATAAAGCTATATATTGTCCCTCTTCTCCTTCCAAACAAGATAATAGCTTTACACATTTCTTGGCATACATACGCATCTTCTAGTTATTCTTGCCTACAACTTGCTTTACCTTCTCAGGTAGTCAAAACATTTAAACACTTATTATTTTTATAGTAAATACTTACTATAGTAAATATTTAACTGAATTTACACATTTATTAATTTAATATTATTTTTTCTTCACCTCTTCCCCCAGGGCTACTCTTCCTCTTGCTAAATAGCATCCATGGGTATAATGGGTTCACCCAGGGCCAGTTTTGTCCCCCTGAGGACATTTCTTGATATGTAGACATATTTGTTGTTGTTGCAACTGGGGGCTGCTACTGGCATCTGCTGGGTAGAGGCCTGAAATGCTGCCAACATCCTGCAAATTACAGAACTGTGCCCACTACTAAGCATTCTCAAGCCCCACATGTCCACAGGTTGAGAAGTCCAGCAGGATGAGATATTTCAGTAAGGATCCCCAAGACTTTGCAGATCTTAAAATGCCATTATTCCACTCTCTGTTTTGCATAATTTTAGCCAGGTATGGTATTCTAGGTCAGCAATTCACAACTATGACCATATTACTCCACTGACTTGGCATCTGTCTTTCTCTTTGTTCTTTTGTGGTTTTACTACAGTATAACCTGATTCAAACTCACTTCATTTATTCTGTTTGGCCCTTGGGGCATATTTTCAAGCCAAAGCCTCATGTCTTTCTTCAGCAGTTACCTCTTCAGTTACTGCTTCTCTATTGTTCACCCCATTCTTACTCCCCCCACAACCCTCTTCTCTTAAATATTTATTGGAGCCTCTCACTCTATTCTTTGTATCTTGATCCTTTAGATTTTTATTTTTCTGAGCTTCTATTTGTGCAAATTTCTTAGAACTGCTTTCCAATTTATTAGTTTTCTCTTCACCTATGTACAGTCTAGAGTTTTATACCTATATTGACTTTTTCTTTCAGAAACTGGTTTTTATTTCAAAGATTTCTGATTTTCTATTTTTGTATCTCCCTACTCTTGTTTTTTTTATATATATTTTAGTAAATTCCCATTATTTTTCAAAGATATTATTCTTTCACTTGTTTCCCTGAGAGTACTAAACAACATATTTATTTAAAGTATTAGGCAGAGGTCAAATGCTGTATCTTGCACCCTATAATCCCAGCAATTTGGGAGGTAGAAGTGGGAGGATCACTTGAGCCTAGGAGTTCAAGATCAACCTATGTAGCATAGTGAGATCCTGTCTCTACAAAAAAGAAAAAATTAGCTAGGCATGGTGCTGCATGCCTGTAATCCCAGCTACTTAGGAGGCTGAGGTGGAAGTCACCTGAGTTCAGGAGGTCAAGGCTGATCATGCCACTGCACGCCAGCCTATATGACATAGTGAGACCCTGACTCAAAATAAACAAAAAGTATCGGCCATTTGTTCTATTGTTTTAGTTCCATTTAAAGTAAATTCATCTCCTCAGGGTTGATTTTGTTGCCTGTCACTTAGCAGAAACTTCCTTTGATTTTTTTTTTTTTAAGTAGATTTGTGGAATTATTTTGGTTGGGAAGATACTCAGGGTTTTTTTTTTAGTCTGTGCTTGTGTGTGTGTGTGTGTGTGTGTCTGTCTGTCTACTCACCCACCTGTCTACCTGCTTCTGTCTGTCCTCTCCCCTTTCCGTGTGTGTGTGTGTGTGTGTGTGTGTGTGTGTGTGTGTCTGTCTGTCTGTCTGTGTCTGTGTCTGTCTACCTACCCACTTGCCTATCTACTTCTGTCTGTCCTTTCCCTTCTCCCTGTGTCATAGCTTTGCCATTGTGTGACCCACTCCAGAACCCCTAGTACAGAACCAGGGTACATAGGTGAGCCTCTTACCCAACAGTTATGTTGGAAAAGCAGCAGGCAGCTTGACTCAGGCTACGATTGTGAAGCTACCTCTGGTCCTTCCTGCCTCCCCAGCCAGTAAGCCTTGCACATGTTTGAATCCATGCAGCAGGTAGAAGCTGCTTTCTTCAGCCTCTCTTCATGAGCAGGGAGTCTCTGCCCCAAGCCCTGATCCCTTGGTAGGTCACTTGAGACCTTTACGGTCAGCTCCTATTGGCCTCCAGGAGCTGACCTTCCATTCTTCCTCCTTATCCACATCTGCAGTGCAGTGGCTTTAGCCCTACTCCACTTTTAGTTTATCATCTTTCTATTGTCTGGGAAGATGTTTGTGTTTTAGCACTGACCTTCCAGATGTTTCCTTTTTGTGTTCTGTTAGCCACTACTTTATGTTTTTACTTGGAAGAGGCCCCTCACATGAACTTAGAGGGCCACCGTGACCAGAAGTTGGAAGCATTACTGTGTATTGCCTGCTTAGTCTGTTTTATACTCTCCTAGTCCATTCAAGTTGCAATAACAGAAATATATCACCCATAGTTCTGGAGACTGGGAATCCAAGATCAAAGCACTGGCAGATCTGGTGTCTGTTAAGGACCCACTTCCTCATAAATGGCTGTCTTCTTACTGTAACTTCACATAGTAGAAGGGTAAGGGTGTCTATAAGTTCTCCCTTTTTTTTCCCTGAGTGGGGGGGGGAGTCTCACCCTGTTGCCCAGGCTGGAGTGCAGTGACATGATCATGGCTTACCACAGCCTTGACTTACTGGGCTCAGGCAATCCTTCCATCTCAGCCTCCCAAGTTTCTGAGACTATAGGTGTATGCCACCACAACTTGGCTACTTTTTAAAAATTTTTTGTAGAGACTAGATCTTGCTATGTTACCTAGGCTTGTCTTAAACTCCTGGGCTCAAGCAATCCTCCCACCTCAGCCTCCCAAAGCACTGGGATTACAGGCGTGAGCCACTGTGCCCACCTTGTATTCTCTTGTATAAGGCACTAATCCCATTCATAAGGGCTTTACCATCCTGACCTAATAGCCTCCCAAAGGTCACACCTCCTAAAACCATTACCTTGGGGGTTAAGATTTCAACGTATGTATTTGGTAGTGAGCATAAACATTCAGTCCATTGCATATGACACTATTAATCTGAAGTAACCTGCTGTCCCAACTGTGCTTTTTGTGAGCATGAAATTAATTCACTATTGAAGTCCTTATGGAAGAGATGTTTAAAGGGTATACTGAGTTAATTGTCTGTCGTGAATATTAAAGAGGTAGACATATCTATCCAGAGTTCATTGGTCTGTGGACTGGCTGCAAACAAGGCAATTATTAATACTAAATTGGATCATTGTTTTAAGTAAATCAGTATTTCTGAAACTTATTTAAGATACTTTTTTTTGCAAGAAGGAAAGAAGGTTTGGAGCTATTGTCTCTTAAAATTTAATGGCATCCAGGGACCCCCAAAAGTAGTTGTTCTCACCCTTGATCTAATCCCCAATTTTCTTGTGTCTGTGTATGGATAAAACACCATGGGTAACTAGCTCCTGTTAAATCTCAGAAAGAGTCCTGACCACTTAAGAGAGTCTGAAATCACATCTGATCCCCTGTATTCTTCCTTGTGCTTACCCCTTCTAGGTCACTTGACTGGTGGACAACAGACACATGCAACATGATTAATGGGACAGATGGAGATTTTTTTCACCCACTAATTACCAAAGACGAAGTCCTTTATGTCTTTGCATCTGATTTTTGCAGGTAAGAGCTTTGCAGATATGTTCTTTTTAAAAATAAGGTCATTGGCTGCAAAACCACCAAAAGTGTGAAGAATATGTACAGATACATTTATTAGGCATGAATATTTTTGTTTAATCAGTGGTAAATGCTGATGGCATATTAAGACAGACAGCGTAGTGTAGTGGTTCACAGCACAGAATTCAGAACCTGGATATATTGGTTTGAATCTTGGCTCTACCATTTCTAGCTGTGTGACCTTGAGCAAGTTATTTAACCACTCTGTGCCTCGCTTTTTTCATCTGTAAAATAAGATAGAAATAGTCACCTATCTCAGGGGTTGTTAGAGGACAAGTGAGTACTTATTAGTAAATACTTAGTGCAGGGCCTGTCACACAGTACACAGTATTAACTGTTGACTCTTAGTTATGGTGATATGCTCTGTCAAGCATGAATTGGCCTGTTCTTCCTCCAGTCAATAGGCAATTTTGGCCAGGCACTGTGGCTGATGCCTGTAGTCCCAGCACTTTAGAAGGCTAAGGTGGGAGAATCACTTGAGGCCAGGTGTTCAGGAGACCAGCCTGAACAACATAGCAAGACTGCTGACTCTACACAAAATTTTAAAAATCAGCCAGGCAGAGTGCATCTGCAGTCCCAGCTACTTGGGAGGCTGAAGAGGGAGAATTGCTTAAGCCCAGGAGTTCAAGGTTACGGTGAGCTAGGATAACACCACCACACTCCAGCCTGAGCGACAGAGCAAGATGCTGTCTCTTAAAAAACAAAACCAAACCAGGCAACCTCTGCATAAAGATAAGTGATACTCTCGTCCGTCTCCCAGGGCTTGTGAGTATTTGCCTAGTTGTAACCCTCTCATAGATAGCATCTGCTCTGCCTTGCCCTGTGGTCTCCCTCCTTCCTGCCTTCCTCCTCCCTGAAAGTGAAAATGGCTGAGTCTCTTATATGTAAAGATGTCTCCTCCCTACCCTGTGCCCTATCTCCTGTCTCCCATTGTGCCCTGTGGTCTCTCCCTCCCTCCTGCCTGCCCCTTTCTTGCAAGTGAATATGACCGAGTCTCCTGTGTGTGAAGATGTCTCCTCTCCACCCTCTCTCATCTCCCATCGTGCCCTGTGATCTCTCCCTCCCTCCTGCCTTCCCTTTCTCTGCAGGTGAACATGGCTAAGTCTCCTGTGTGTAAAGCTGTCTCCTCTCCACCTTGTCCCCCTTCCTGTCTCCCATCATACCCTGCTCCTGCCCTGCTCTCTCAGACTGCTTGGACACTTGGCCACCCTGCAAGGCATCCTGGAAAACTTCTCTTTGCAGATGGAATTGACCTTGGAGTGTTGGTCACTGTTGGTTTATTATTCTCACATGTCTCCAAATGGTTGTTCTTGCAGTGTCTCCTGTCTCGCTCATTTGTGCCACCTACCCAATCAGCCATGCCAGGGACAGTGGTGACATTATGACTCTCCTTTCTCTCTTTTATTGACTTAGTCACCAAGTCCTATGGATCCCTCCTTGGAAACAGTGCTTGAATTCATCCCTTGCTCTTTCTCCCCACTATTCAGGCCATAGGTTAGACCTTTCGATCTGTCACATGGAATATCACTGTCACCACAATCTCAAACTCTTGGGCTCAAGCAGTCCTCCCACCTCAGCTTCCCAAGTAGCTGGGACTATAGGCATGTGCCACTATGTCTGCCTAATTTCTTGAATTTTTGTAGAGATGAGGTCTCACTGTGCTGCCTAGGCTGGTCTTGAACTTCTGGGCTCAAGCAATCTTCTTGCCTTGATCTCCCAGAATGCTAGAATTACAGGCGTGAGTCTCCTCACCCAACTGGCCAGCTAATTTTTTTTTTTTTTTTTTTTTTTGAGTTAAAGTCTCACTCTATCACCCAGGCTGGAGTGCAGCGGCATAGTCACAGCCACCGCAGCCTTGACCTGCTGGGCTCAGGCGATCCTTCTGCCTCAGCCTTCCAAGTAGCTGGGAGTACAGGCACATGCCACCACGCCCAGCTAATTTTTTGATTTATTGTAGCTATGGGGTCTCGCCAAGTTGCCTAGGCTGATCTCGAATTATTAGGCTCAGGCAGTCCTCTCACATCAGCCTCTCAAAGTGCTAGAATGACAGGCACGAGTCGCCGCACCCAGCCTAAGTGTTATCTTCTTAATATTCCACCACACATTCTGTTTTTTCTTAGCCTTGTTTGGCTGTTACCATAGTTGCTACCTCTTGAACATCTTTTACTACAATTCATCTTCCTCTTTTTTATACATTGAGCTGGGGCGCTCCTTCCAGGCAATTTTGCATTTTCATTTTCCACTTACCCTGCAAGTTTTGGGCCATGTTTTATCTGAGAACTGCTCTATCTCTGTGATGTGGGGAAGATAACACTGGCCAGAGCCCACAATGACTTTCTCTTCTTATATCCTAACAGGTCAGTGTATATCACTTTCAGTAACTTTGAGAGTGTGCAGGGACTGCCTGCCTTTCGGTATAAAGTGCCAGCAGAAATACTAGCCAATACTTCAGACAATGCTGGTTTCTGTATACCTGAAGGAAACTGCCTGGGTTCAGGAGTTTTGAATGTCAGCATCTGCAAGAATGGTAAGAACTCTGAGAGGGGACATGATTTGGGGTATCGAGAATGCAGAAAGATTGGCGTTCAACAAAGAATATGTGATCAGCCCATTAGAAAGATCGATTTAAGAATAATGTTTTCTTTAAATATAGCTACTGAATGGTAAAGATATAGATAGATAGATAGATAGATAGATAGATAGATAGATAGATAGATAGATAGATATGTAAATATAGATATGAGACAGAGAGAGAGAGGGGGGTTTTCTGTGATGCTTTTTATTTCTAGAATGTCTTGTTATAGTTTTTTTCTGGGCATTAGTGTAGAAATCTTAATAGTAAGACTAGCTTATGTTAACTGAGCACTTAATATGTGCCAGTCACGGTTTTAAATACTTTACATATTTATGAGTAGTTAATGCATAAAGTACAAACTGATTTCATGTTCAAAACAATGCTAAAAGACAACATGGACATTCAGTGTTAAGAAAGTACATTTCTTGGCAAAGGATCGCAATAATTTTGAAACAGTTTTAAACCCGACTACAAGTTTCCCAGTGTTTCTTAATGTCTGAACTACTCTGCCTGAACTAGTTCTACCTTCTCATGAATGAGGTAGAACTATCAGCGTTCTGAGAATGTTTTCTTCATTTTGAAGACTAATTTTATCAGCTACATGTTGCAGAGTTATTCACGACAGTCTTCACTAGATAGCCCTTCAGTGACCACTTTTTATAATTGTGGAACAAGGGCTCAGATGGGGGATGTGATTTTTATAAAACCCTTATCGTTGAGTACATCCTTGCTGGAACTTAGGGTCTCTCATATTTGTACTGTTTCCTTTCTTGGCTATAGTTCCTCTTTAAAGTTTCTCTTGAGAGATGTCCCTTGGTGACCCCTTCCTCTTGAATAAAGGTGCCCTTTTCTCCTGGATCAAGTAATGTGCTAATGTTTGCTCCTTTGTCTAATTAGTTTTAAAATCTCCTTTTGGGTGTGGTGCTACCCATACCCAGCTACTCAGGAGGCTGAGACAGGAGGATCACTTGAGTTCAGGAGTTTGAGTCTATCCTAGGTAGCATAGTGAGTCCCCATCTTTAAAGAAAAAAAAAATCTTCTTTTGGGATGTCTTAGGTCAGCAGTATACCTCCCTGTCCTTGTCTGACGAGGTAGTAGCCTTCATACCTAGCCTTACAGAATTATCTAGAGCATTATTAAAAATTTTTGTTCTAAGGGCCCATGCTGAACATTCCAAAGCCTCAGACTCCACACTTTTAACAGGCATTCCAGGTGATTACCATGCAGTTGGTGTCTAGGTATTGGGGACCACTATGCAAGGGAATACAGCCCTCTTTATCTAGAGGCAAAGATCAAGGGTAAGCAGGGACAAGTTCCTAGTTCTTCTTACTTCTCCAATCGCCTTACTGGGTGAATGGCCCACAATACCATCCCTGTCCCCTCAGGCCATGTGTATCTGGCTCAAGGCACAAATATAGATACATTTCTCATGCTGTTTTTGTTAACATTCTGCTTCCTGAATAAGCTGTTGCCAGAATCAACAGAAAGATTCTATTTGTAACATTTGATCTTCTTGCTATCATCCTTTCCTCTTCCCTCTTATGAACCCCTAAATTCGGACTGAAAAGTTAGACTCCCCAAGGTTATCCTCCAGTATTTTGAATTCTCCAGGGAAACCTTTTGGACAATGGGATGAGTAAGTGTTCTGGGGCGAGGCAAATCTGGGTATGAGTCCTATTCTACTTGTTGGCAATGTGGCCAAGTCATCAAGGAGGGTTCCTGACATCATCATTCTCATCTATGAAATGAGGATGATTGTAACCTCTGCAAAGGTGTGTGAGAGTTAAAGTATGTGAAACACCTAGAACAGTGTCTGGCCCTTATTAAGCCCTCAACAGATTTTTAAAAATACATCTTAAAGGTCACCACATGTCACCCAGAAGAAAATTGTGGCTTTGTGGAACTGTTTAGCAGTAAAGAGCAAAATGCTTGTGCATGTGAGAGATGATGTGTACCCCAAGCCATGGGCTGTTAAAATGCAGTCAGATTGCAATTGCTTGCCAATAAACTTATTTCTCCAAAAATGTATTTTTCTGGCAACAAGTACTGGGACCCTCTCTTCTTTTCAGTGGCCAGATCTAGAATAGGTTTTTCTAATAACTTGTTTTACAATTTGGTTCTTAAGATTATTTTAAAAGGAGGAAAGAAAACCAGAGTCTTTATGATTTGGTTAGAGACTGGGCATGTAGCACAACCAGGCAAATGCTTACAAAATTCTACAACATATCCAGGAGAACAAAGTCCATATTTGGTAAAACAATTTAAAAAAATAAAAAAAGCAAGCAGGCCAGGTGTGGTGTCTCATGCCTGTAATCTAGCGCTTTGGGAGGCTGAGGTGGGAGGCTCCCCTGAACCCAGGAGGTTACTGCAGGTGACATGAGCCACCACACTCCAGCCTGGGCATCAGAATGAAACCCTGAATCAAGAAAAAAAAATAAAACAAAATGAAATTAAAAAGAACCTTCAAACAAAACAAGACAGTCTATTTACTGATAGAGAATTGTAATTGAAACTAGTGCTTTGAGGTGTGATTTCCCTCATTCAACTAGAATTCTGCTTCTATAACCTAATAACTAGATAGGTAAATTTTATAATTACGGTGAGCCTCAGTTTTTTCAAATGTAAAATGAGGATAATAGTTCTAACTTCATAGGGCTGCTGGGAGGAGCATTAATTAAAATAACTTATACTTTATAGGTTTGGTACATGTTTGTTGAAGAATAAATAATTTAGCCTTGACTTTAATATATAATGTGGGGCCAGCATGGTAGTTCACAGCTATACTCCTAGCACTTTGGGGGCTAAGGTGGGAGGATCGCTTGAGGCCAGGAGTTTGAGAGCAGCAAGGGCAACATAGTGAAACCTTGTCTCTACAAAAAAATCAAAAAAATTAGCCAGGCCTGGTGGCACGCACCTATAGTCCCACCAACTCGGGAGGCTGAGGCGGAAGGATCCCTGAGCCCAGGAGGTCAAGGCTGCCATTCTGGTAACCAGCCTTCCCTTGTCCTACTCTGCCTGCCAAACATGGTAAATGGGTACCCATGACTGTGCCACTGCACTCCAGCCTGGGTGACAGAGTAAGACTCCAACTCAAATAATAAAAATAAGAAAAGAAAATATTTAATGTGGAATGAAACAACAGAGATGCCTGAAAATGAAGTGTGTTTTGGACTAGGAGGAGCAGAGTGGTATTCAGCCTGTCTGCCTCCCCCAAGTTTACTTATGTGCCATTGTTTGTTTTTCTTTAGGAATCTGGTTTGGGGTCAGGAACTTTACATTCACCTTAGATTTTCAGAGCAGCATCATTCATTTCAGTTTTTCTTCACATGCAGGTGCACCCATTGTTATATCTTTCCCACACTTCTACCAAGCTGACGAGAGGTTTGTTTCTGCCATACAAGGTATGCATCCAAATAAGGAAGACCATGAGACATTTGTGGACATTAATCCTGTGAGTACACACTTCCTCCTGGTAAAAGAGCATATGTCTTCTTCTGTCTATACCGTGTTCACTAGTTTAGTGCTGAGCATTCTTTAAAAACACACTGTCTTCTCTTCATATATGCATTCACATGAGGAAACCTGGCTCTGCGCATAGTCCCAGCCCTGTCATGAGAAAGCTGATCTCTGGGGATCTGATAGCAGAAATGCCAGCAAACCTGTGTCAAAAGAAAGCAGCAGTGAAGGCTCAGTCACTGGGAATAGTTGCGCCTGGAGCCATGTCACCTGGCCAATCTTCTGTTGCCAGCCTTGGACCCAAACATATATCCATGTCTCTCTCCCGTTGGGGCCCAGATCAGTAAGGTTGAAGACATCACTTTACTCACTCACTGCCAGGAATATTTTGGTTGAAATTTGAATATGTAGATTAGCTTCAGTCATTTTTGGCAAACTTCTTTCTACATGTACTTTTGAGAGTTTATTATATTATTAATTTTAAAGTATCAGGTATACATACACTTTAATCCAGTATTCACAGAAGAGAAAACCAAAAATCATGCTAAAAAGATGTGAATATCACTTCACCACGTGAAAACCTCTCAGTGTAAACACTGTATGGAAAGTCGGATGTCTTCATTCTGGGGACTTGGAACATGATGGAAAAGTGGGAGCATTCTCTTAGCACAGAATGTGATGGGCACTTCTCCTATAGCTACATACATTGCAGTTGTGTTTAAGAAACCAGTCTCCTTATCCTTTGGTGAATACGTTCAAGTGTGGTTTCCCCCTTGTGTCTCTGAGCCATCAGTTAAGACATTACAGTTGGAGCGGCACTGATCTACCAGCAACCCAGAACAGTCACTGGGTCGCATTCTGTCCTGAGAACCAGCTTTCCCTTGTCCCACTCTGCCTGCCAAACGTGGCAGTGAGTACCCAGTTTGTTAGAACCACACAGAAATGGTGCACTTTTGAAAAAAACTGTTTGCAGTTGAATGAATCCTAATGCTTTCTTTTCACTTCTCTGATTTGCAGTTGACTGGAATGATCCTCAAAGCAGCCAAGAGGTTCCAAATCAACATTTATGTCAAAAAATTAGATGACTTTGTGTAAGTGTGGCTTTTTTCTGTAGAGGCAGAGGATGTTTTTGCTATGTTGCCTTTCTGCTGAGGGTGGCATTGGCAGGAACTTAGCCCACCCCTTCTGGCTCTATATGTTCCTGCTGTTCAGGGATGGGACATGATCAGCGTTTTCATGGGTACCTTGGTCTTGGAATTTACTTGTTTTATTTTTATTTTATTATTATTATTATTTTAGTTGAAGTCTCACTCTGCCACCCAAGCGGGAGTGCAGTGGCATGCTCATAGCCACCCCAGCATCAACCTGCTGGGTTCCAGCAGTCCTTCACCTCAGCCTTCCAAGTAGCTGGAACTATAGGTGTGCGCTACCATGCCCAGCTTATTTTTTATTTATCATAGAGACAAGGTCTCTCCATGTTGCCCAGGCTGGTCTCGAACCTATATGCTCAGGCAATCCACTTGCCTTGGCCTCCCAAAGTGCTGGGATTACAAGCTGAGCCACCAAGCCTGGCCTTATTATTGTTTTATGTTTAGAGACAGACTCTTGCTCTGTCACCCAGGCTGGATTGTAGTGGTGTGATGATAGCTCACTGCAGCTTCGAACTCCTGGGCTCAACGATACTCTTGCTTCCACTTCCTGCATAGCTGGGATTACAAGAGGGCACCACCATGCAGGGTGTTATTTTAAAAATTTTTTAGAGACAGGGTCTTGCTATGTTGCCCAGGCTAGTCTCAAACTCCTGACCTCAAGTGATCCTTCTACCTAGGCCTCCCAAAGTGCTGGGATTACAGGCACGAGCATTGGCACCCAGCCTTGTTTTATTTAATCAAGTACTTAGAGTGCTTTCTGTGGATCAGGCTTTGGTCTAAGCACTTTACATAGATTCACTTACAACCTTGCATTATCTCTACTGTACAGATGAGGAAACAGAGGCATAGAGAGTTTAGGTTAACTTGCTGGATCTCACACTGTAAGACTGGCCTCTGAGCTGGCTTTTATCCACTCTGCTACGCTTATGCACTCATCCACTGTCACTCTGTCTTCCTCTCTTTCTCCTCCCACTGCTCCCTCTTGGGCCCAGCCATACCTCTTATGTGAATGGTTAAAAGTCTTTTGAGTCCAGCCTCTCCCCCCATTCTCCATCTACAAACCACTGCTTAATTAGGATTCCTACGTATAATCTCCAGCTCAGACTTTTCAGTGGGCTTTTTTTGGACATGAGAAAATGCTTATAATGTTGAATTTTAAAAAAGAACAAAACAGGATACATATAATCTCTACATATAATCTCATATCTATCTATACAACTTGACTTGTTTCCCTCATTGAATTTGCTGGACTTAATCTCCCATGTCATGATCTTTTTAAAAAGCAAGCATGGCTTGCAAGAATGCATTTTTGTTATATGTGTACGTATTTCTGAGGAGGTATAATTTCACTGTTAAGAGCTGGAAGCTTAGAATCAATGTGGAATTAGAGTCCTGACTTTGCCGCCTACTCGGGTAAGCCTGGACAAATCACGGGGCTTCTCTGAGTCACTGTTTTCTCATCTGTAAACCTGGGACAGTAATCCCTACTGCGTGTGACTGCTGTAAGAATGGAATGAGATAATGTCCCCCAAAACACCCAGCCCAGGGATGGCGCATGGTGAGTACTCAGGTGGCTCTTGCTGCAAAGACAGCACTCTAACAGCCTAGTTACTGGAGGAGTGGCAGCACTGTTGTGATGCCTCCAGGGAGAATAGTCCATGTTGGTGAATCTGCTTCCAGTGTTTTGTGTTTTGATAAAAACACTGTATAAACACATAGCTCTTGGAATTGCTAGACTGGCAGGTTGGAATTTAGCTCCTGATTCATATGTGTTTGCAAAGATAACTAAGAAATTGGTGGGAATTTCAGGTAATTGAATGGGATTTTCATATGTACTTGTCTCCAGGCGCATGTGCCGTCATGATGAAGAGGGCTATAAATAACCTCATCCTTTGTCTTTGCAGTGAAACGGGAGACATCAGAACCATGGTTTTCCCAGTGATGTATCTCAATGAGGTAAGTCCTGAGGGAGCTGAGCCCATGGGTAGGTTAGTTGTCCATGCTTGGAGCACGTCCAGCATGATGTCTGCTGTTGGAGCTGTGGGTAAATCAGGATATGCAACAGGGGGAAAGGATGATTTCTTAAAATCTGCTATTTCCTCAGAAAATTTCAGTTAAATATTGACATGAATCTGCCAGTGTCTAAAAGTTGATCTGGACACATGACAGAAAGAAATTTTCCTTCTCAAAAACATTATTGGGGCAAAACTTCCTTCTGGGGAGATGCTTGTGTAAGAAGCAAAATGTAAAGCTAAAATGAGCCACTGTGAGACCCTGTTGAAACAGGAAAAACAGCCCACTCAGATGTCTGGTGAGTCCTCTCTCCTCCTCTTTTGAAACACTGCCAGTTTAAGGTATCTACCTGTGATAAATTCTTTCCTAAATCGCTTATAAATTTACTGTAGCTATATTCTTCAATTTCACCCCTCCATCCAGTTTTGAAGGAAAAAAATGCAGGATTATTTTTCTCCAATATGTTCTTCTACGGGCAGACTTCTGTTGTTAACAGCAGCATTTTAAGTTTTTATTATTTTTTTTCTGTTCCTTAAAAATACTTGCTCTTTGTAGAAAATTGAGTAACAGAGAATAACAAGAAAAGGAAAAAAGTCAAAGTCACTATTTGCAAAACCTATGCCAGCCTGATATATTGTCTTTATTTCATTTTACTCAATTTGTTTTAAATGTTTTCCAGGAACAACTTAAAAAATGTTTTACATTTTATAAAATATACTTGTTATAGAACTCTTTGAAAATGTTTTTAAAAATCTATTTAAAAAGTAAATCACTGAAAAGTCACTCAGACAGGTGTGGTTAACATCTTCTGATGCTGCCTTCCAGTCTTTTTCTGGTCTTGATTTTACATAGTTGAAATCATACCATAAATACAATTTTATATCTCATTTTCTTCACTTAAAGTTATATAGCATACACATTTATAAACTTTTGAAGGGTTTGTGAGTCTACTAAGAAGAGGCTTTGATTGTTTCATAGGAAAAATTTAGGCACTATCTGCCAATGTATAGGAGACATTTGTGATTGCTCCTGGTCATTATCCTTACTGTCTGTGCAGAGGGGCATGAACATTGGACAGAAGGTCCCTTTTCTGTCAGCTTCTGTTCTTGTAGTGGCATATTTGAAGTCCTTGCATCCCCAACTTTTGCTTTGCTTTTTTTGTTAAAGACTAGATTGAGTTGCAGGAACATGGAGTGAAACCTTGTGCTTTTACTACCTTCTAGAAAGAGCTTGATTTTTTTCTTCTCTAGAAAAAATAAAATATCAGACCTGGAAGTGACTTTGGAGACTGCTGCCCCACTGCATTTTTACAAGGAAGAAACCCTGACCCAGAAGGACTTTAGCCAGTTATTGGAAGAATCGTCCTAGAACCCAGTCCTCTGACTCAGTCCAGTGCAAATTAAACATACATTAAGGCAGAATTGTTACTCATAATTGTTTTTTGGTTTTTTTGAGTTGGAGTCTCACTCTGTCGCCCAGGCTGAAATGCAGTGGCACATTCCCGGCTACTGCAGCCTCGACTTGCTGGGCTCAGGCAATCCTTCCTCCTCAGCCTTCCAAGTAGCGGGAACTACAGGCATGCGCTACCACACCCAGCTAATTTTTTTATTTATTGTGGAGACGAGGTCTCACCATGGTGCCCAGGCTGGTCTCAAACCCACAGGCTCAGGCAATCCTCTCACCTCGGCCTCTCAAAGTACTGGGATTATAGGCTTGAGCCACCACGCCCAGCCACTCATAATTGTTATGAGATTAAGCTCTTCAGATATCTTGCCCATTATACAATGTGATGCGACCCTGCTCCTCATACAGAAAGTGTTTTGCTAGCTCATCTCATTAGTATTAAGACTCTCTGGAATTCTGGTTAGCCCACAGCTTCCCTGAACACTTTCTGTGGAAACCTCTGGTCCTGCTGCAATCAATAAGGAAATTATGCTGTCTACAGACCATTTTTGGAGTGTTTCATCCATTCATTTAATCAGCCAGCCACAATTGGGCACCTAGTATGTGCTGGGTGCTATCCTCAGTGTGGAGGTGACTGAGATAACCTTACCTTCGGGGACCCCATAGTCATTGGGAGACAGACAAGTAAACAGTTACAGTGCAGAGTGCAAGGACAAAGATGGAGGCAGAGAGCGAGACTGAAGCTGAGGGAAGGGGCCTCGAACCAGGCCTGAGATGGCCAGAGGAGACTTCCGGAAGGAAGGCTGAGCTGGGTTTTGGAAAATGAGTGGGAACAAAACCAAAGATGGTATTATCCCAGTATTTCTAAATACCTTTTTCCTCCCTTTTCCAACCTATTTTTAAGAGCAAAACCATCTCCAGGAGAAGAGAGACAACATTACTGAATAAGTGTCCCTTCTGGTTACTCTAATTTATAAAGGGATTTTCAGTATACTTGGTTTGCTAACAGGAGGACATACCCAAATGGTGTTTAATAATTTGAAAGAAAGATACATCAAAAAAAGGTTACATCCTGGATATTCAGTCATCAAGGGATTACTATCTTCTTGCCCCTCCAGAGTGTTCTCATTGATAAAGAGACTGAGAGTCGGCTGAAGTCTGTGATTAACACTACCTTGATTGTCACCAACATCCCCTACATCATCATGGCGCTGGGTGTACTCTTTGGCCTGGTTTTCACATGGCTTGCCTGCAAAGGGCAGGGAGCCACGGATGAGGTCAGTACCAGAGGAGGGAACTTCTTCCTTGCTAGACAACTTTACCTGAGGGGCTCCTCAGCTGGGTGTCACTGAAGGGCTGTCAGCTGCTCACGAGGGTGGGTTCTGGTGGGCAGAGTGATTTCATGGCTGTTTTAACACAGGACTAGATGGGAAGCAAGGGGGGTGTGTCAAAGAAGGCAGGGGGACAGAATGGTACCATGTAGTATTTGGAGACTGGAATCCCTGAGCGGATCCCCTGGGAGTTAACTTTCCATCTTTGAAAACAATAACCCAAAAGAAAAGAAAGAATATGTAACAGCTAGGCACTTGGGCTTTTGTGTCAGACTGCCTGTGTTCAAATCCCAGTTTCTGCCACTTAACAGCTGTATGACACTAGAAACTGTGCCTCAGTGTCTTCATCTGTAAAATGGGATAAGAACCTCCCTTGAGTTTTTCACAAGGATTAGGTGATGTAGCAGACATAAATGACTTGGCACAGTGTTAACATATACTAAGAGCTCAATAAAGGTCAGTTATCTTATAGTAATATATGTAATAACTTGATAAAACAGCTCCAAGATTATAGAGCAAGGCAGCTAGAGCCCTGCTTAGCAGGGATCCCTGATGGTTCAGAAGATCCCTATAATGGAGGCACCACTGCATAATAAATGTTTGGAACATGGGCGTAGTTACATTCCTGGAGGTATGAGATAGAGTTGGGTGGCTGCCCTAAGGGACCCAGAGCCCAGTCAGAAGTCTGGACACCTCCAGTGAGCCTTTTCTGAGAAGCCCTTCTTAAATTTTCAGGCGCTCCCTTTTTTGCAACAAATGCCCCCCCTCCCACCCCCTACCCCAGGCACCTCGACTAAGTGTCTGAGGCAAATGTGAAGTAGGAAATAAACAAGTTGAAACCATCTGAGTAAAATTAGCTCCAATTTCCCAGCCTTCCATATTCTTCCATTATTTCTCTTAGTCACTTTAGCCTGAATTAGCTGTGAGGCAAACTATCTTGCCATCTCTATGGTTCTTCTTATCTGACTTTATACAGTCGTTGAGATTTTCTTGAACACAAATAAAACCTCATGTAAATGTTCATTACTGCTCCTACAGTTAACCCTCTTCATGTATCCCACAAATAAGCAATGACTGAGCACCTGCCACCTCTGAGCCTCTATTCCCTGGTGGGTTTCAAACCAGGAAGGAGGCAAATCCAAGAGCATTACATCCCGTGATAAGCATGACATCCTGGTCAACACAGGGAGGGGCACTGCTCGGGTCGGGGCAAAAGTGGTCAGAGAAGGCCTCTGGAAGGTCAGGTCTGACTCACCTTCCACCCCACTGTGCCTCAGCTCTTCACACGGGGAGATGTTTCTGACATCACCTAACTTCTCTGTCTTCTCCCTTCTGTGTCTCAGGGAACGGCAGATGAAAGAGCGCCCCTCATACGAACCTAACCATCGCCAGAGCTTGCTGCAGGAGCCCTATGAGCTGTCCCAACCTGGTCCCTGACGTGGGGAAGCCCTCTGCATCCTCACATGCGTGTTGCCTGCTGGGATGAGGGAAAAGACACTGTGCTGGCAGGTGTTGGGGCATTCTGGCCAGAGGTTACTGAACAGGCTGACATGCCTGGCCATTATGCTTTAGAAAATCATGTGGTCTCTGAAGTTGTTTTAAATGTGTCTAGCAAGTATTTAATAAACCCTTGTATAGTCATTTTTTTGTGGTTGGGTACCCGTAGCTCCAGTACTTTGTGATCTCTGTTGTGGATTTAAGAAGTCTCCACGTCACTTGCTAATGCTACTTGGCCTAACCTTGTCCAGTATGCTTTAGTCACCAAACTTTGTGCTCAAAATACATACACACTATTTTATGTTGCATTCCTCTATTTTACTCCTCAAACAGAAGTAAATGAGAGTTCGGAACCCAGGGTAAAATGGTAGCCTCATCCCATACATCATTCAAATGCATCAGACTTCTACTTTTAAAACATTACATGTTGCATTTTGTGCTAATTTTCAGTTCATAATTCCTCCAGAAAAACTCAGTCTTCCGAATACTTTTATATTGTGTAGGAATCATGCAGGGGAGGGGTTGGGGGGGGATGATACCCATGAATTGATAGTGATAAGCTCCTAAGGATTTTTAACTTGTACTTTTGTGAACAAAGAGAATGCATAAATAATGGTGGTGAGGTAAAGTGCAGATATTTCATATAGAGTAGAACTGAATACTAGTTATGACACTTATGAATAGCTTGACACTTATGAATAGCTAACTGGGTTTTTTTAGTCAAAATCATCTGTATGTGGAAAGATGCTTCTGGAGAATGTGATCAGTAACTGATTTTCTTTCCCTGTTCACCTCTGCCAAATATAATACTGAATTAACCTATGATTGTTTATTTGTGAAATTATGAATATAGGAAATCTACCCACCCACAGCCTAAGTTACACACATTTTAGGAAGTCTGATTAGACTAAAGAGACATTTCTTCTGGTGTAGGCTGCTTCTTCTTGGTAACTTTGAAATCATTTTTGTCAGTTATTTTCTCAGATTCAGTTCCTTGCAGTGTCTCGTGGCTGTCACTCACTGAGAGAGAAACATGTGCATGCCCTACACTTCCTGGTACATTTTGCTGACAGAATGAGGGATGTTTAAAATATTGTACAGAAAGTACTTTAAGGAAAGGTCCCTTGGGACCAGAAGCAGAACAACTTTTCTTCAAAAGGCTTGTTGGTTTCAGTGTAACCTAAGTCAGGGTATCGGGAACCGTCATGTGTCCCAGTGTTAATTCAAGTATATTCAAGAAAGGACATTTTCTTTGATCAAGATTCACCATTCATTTTTAATTGAGAAGTCTATTCAGTTATCTGGCAAAGAACTTACAGGATTTCTTAACAAACTGAATAATTCTAAGGGACTTTTTGTTTAAAACTGAATTTCAGTGTAAGCAAATGAAGAAAAAAATGTGATTGATTTCACTTACATAGCTTCATACCCCTCTATGGAGGTAATAACTTGCTTCAAATGCCCCAGTTTCTCTTCTGTCTCCACTCAAGCAGTGTGTGATCTATTTCTCTTCTTGAAGGGACAATTTATCAAACTCTCAACTTGTCTACAAATCAAAATAGAACCTTCACATGCTCCAATTCACCAAAATGTAAAAAAACTATATAAAAATAATTGACCTTCAATAATACCCTAAATACCTACACTTTGGGGATGTGTCAATACTTAAATAGATAACTGACATATCTTATTTATGCATATACTTATCCACACTAATCAAATTGATAAGTCAGTGCATACTCATTGGTACAGTCCTATTATCAGGATATAATCATCTGTGAGGAGGAAATTTTCAATACTCTAAATGTTAACAGCTAATGATGTAAACATTTAGACTGAGTCCAAAACAGGTAGGGAAACCAAAAACATATTAATTCCATATTTGTGTCATGATTTTTAATAGTTACTTGGCCTAAATCACATTAGATATTTCCCTTCTGAAAAGTTTGAGGCAAACGTATCAACTACAGTTCAAATTACAGATTGGTTAAGAGGAATGAATGTACCTACCTGGTTTCAGGTTGAAATAACAAACTCTTCCTCATGCCTATTCTCTTGTAGCTGATATCCTGGAAAGACCTCAAAAGACTTTGTGGTTGTGAGCACTGTCTCAATCACAGAATGCAGGCATCCCACACCATGATCCCCAGCTTAGAGAGAGACCAGGACTAAGAGCTTAACTCACTTCTCTCAGGGAAAATTGGGAGTTGAGCACAGGACAGAAAATGGGCTTTGCCACTTTAAAATTTTATTTCGTGTTCTGGAAAGATCACTAATGGTCAAGTGGAACCAGTACTACACAACTAACCCCTATTGGGGTTTTACTTAAGGAAGACTGATTTTTAATTTAAATTGTCGGAGATGTGAGTTCTGCAAAAGGTGATCCTCATGCTTGGCCCACTGGGAACTATTACTAAAGTTGCTCATACCTGTTAACAAGAATACTCTTCATGTAGCTTATACAGCTGATTCATTTCATGTGATTCTTGACATGTTTATTTCTACACTTAATGCAACAAAATGTTTCACTAATAAAAAGTCTTTATATAAAATTGCACTGGAAGTCGTATGTCATTGGATGTCCAGTTGTGTATAGAGTTCCATTTGAAAGATGTTTCTTGACAGATGCAGCTCTGAGTCACAACCCTCAGGCCACCTCAGATTTCAGCCCAGCTGTAGTGGACAGCTACAGGCAGCCTGACAAGTCCTACTCCAAGCAGCTCCAACTCTCTGCTTTTCCATCTCAGGAGCCACACACCAGAACCAGGGAACAAATAACCACAAGCAATGCCTAATCAAAGAGGGCAGGAGTCAGCTGATCAATATTTCAGTCCTCAGACTCCTACACAGTCCCTCAACAGTGGTAACTGCTTTCTTTTTTTCTTTTTTTTATTATTATAGAGATGTGGAATACAAGTAAGGATTAACTACACAAGTAGGTTGCGTGCAGGTGAAGTTTGGACTTCCAACTGATCCTCACTCCCCCTGGTTTAGGACCAGGACCCTTTGTGTTGTTATGTGCCCCCTCCCCCAGCAGTGTCCAGTAACTGTCAATCCCTTCCTTGTGCAAACGTGACTAGTGTTCAGGGCCCACTTAAGAGTGAGAACATGTAGTGTTCAGTTCTTTGTTTCTGTGATAGATCATTAAGTGTGATGGTCTCCAACTCCATCCAGTCTGCTGCAGAGTTCATGATTTTGTTCTAGCTTTTTTTTTTTTTTTTTTGAGTTGGAGTCTCACTCCGTCGCCCAGACTGGAGTGCAGTGGCCACTCCTGGCCACCGCAGCCTCGACCTGCTGGGCTCCAGTGATCCTTCCACCTCAACCTTCCAAGTAGCTGGAACTACAGGTGCGCGCTACCACGCCTGGCTAATTTTTCATTTATTGTAGAGATGAAGTCTCACCAAGTTGCCCAGGCAGGTCTCGAACCTGCGGGCTCAGGCAATCCACTCACCTCGGCCTCCCAAAGTGCTGGGATTACAGGCTGAGCCACTGAGCACAGTCGGGTTTTGTTCTTCTTTGTGGCTGGTAATGATCCATTGTGTATATGGACCACTTTTTGCTAGCTAAGCTAACTGCATTCTATCTGCGCTTCTTCACTGCCTGTCTCTCTCTCCCTGCCCTCACTGCTGCTTCCTCCCAAATCACTTGCATGCACTAACGTCCTTCCCTCAGGTCTGCTTCCAGGAAAACCCAACTAAAATACAGGCAAGTCCACCCGGAAGAGCTCGGTGGGATTAGGGAGTTTTGGAAAGATACTGAGGCTTTTGTTTCTAGGGACACTTGAACTAAAGTTATTAGTCCAAAAATTGAGATTACCTTTAAAACCTTTACTTCCCAATATTGCAGCTTATTTCTGAAATCAGTGAATCCAGATCAATCTTAAAACACCTAGCTCAGGATTACAAATGTCTTTATGTATCAAGGACACTGGCCCCCAGCGTATGTACTTTCTAAGATTCCCAAATCCAGTTTCAGGTCCATGTCCCTAGGGATGCACCTTGTACCTATACGTTTTTATTCAAAGGTATATAGAGACACCTGGAACTTTGTAACATACCAAGCCTCATTATTGCAAATAAAAGAGTAAGAAAAATCCAGAAAATATTTTTTAAAACAAGTTGTTAAAGCATATCCAGTAACAATAAGAAAGTACAGTATAAGTCAGGCATGGTGGCTCATATCTGTATTCCCAGCATTTTGGGAGACCAAGGTGAGAGGACTGCTTAGGCCAGGAGTTTGAGACCAGCCTAGGCAACATAGTGATACCTTGTCTCTCACACACACACCAAAATATTAGCTGGGTGTGGTAGCACATGCCTGTAGTCCCAGCTACTTGAGAGGCTGAGTGGAAGGATTTACCTGAGCCCAGGAGTTCAAGGCTGCAGTGAGCCATGATTGTGCCACTGCACTCCAGCCTGGGTGACAGAGACCCTGACTTAAAAGGAAAAAAAAAGAAAATAGGGCCAGGTACACTTTGTGTTGTTATGTATCCCCCTCCCCCACTTCCCTGGCAGTGTCCAGTGACTGTCGATCCCTTCCTTGTGCAAATGTGACTATTGTTCAGGGCCCACTTATGAGTGAGAACATGCGGTATTCAGTTCTTTGCTTCTGTGATAGATCACTAAGTGTGCTGGTCTCCAACTCTATCCAGTGTGCTGCAGAGTCCATGATTTTGTACAGGATGAGTGGTATATATCATACAAACCCCCAAAACATGTATTCACATTTCAGCACATGATTCCATTTCTGATAATGACTATACTTTTTCACTTATTCAACAATTTCCTATTTTAAACACCTTTATTGAGGTATAATTGGCATAGCATAAAAGTCTCCCACTTGAGATGTGCAGTTTTAGACCATGTTCATCACTTCAGTTAAACCCCTCATGCCAAGTTATAGCCACTTTCTGTTCTCCTTCCTTGCCCCTGGCAACCACTAATTTAGTTTTTCTCTATTGATTTGCCTTTTCCAGACATGTCATATAAACAAAATCATACAGTACATGGTATTTGGAGCCTGTCTCCTGTCTACATTATACCTAAAAACGTGTTCAACTAATTTTATTGATTGCCTACTTTATGCCAGGCACTATAAACATAAACCAGGCTACTGGTGACCAGAAAGAGTCTTCTGGAACTTATGGTCTGGTGGGGAACATAGTAACCAAATAATCATATGGATTAATGTAAAATTTCAACTGAGTTTCATGATGTTCTGGGAACATGACTAGGAATTGGAGTTAATTAGGCAAAGCATGTCAGCCAGGATGTGCTGAGGCAGGAGGGAACGTGTTCACTGCAAGTGACTGAGAGTGTGTGGCTGCAGCTCCAAGAGGGAAGAACCAATGGGAGACTAGGCTGGAGAAAAGGGCAGGGGCCAGGTCGTGTTGGGTCTCTCAAACATATGCATAATTTGTATTCTGATTAATTTCAGGACCAACAGGAAGCCACCGAAGTGCTTTCACTGAGTTGTGAGAGGAAGGTGGGTGAGAGGATAGATTTGTTTAGAAAGACCCATTCTAGCTGCAGGGAAAGAATTCACTGGAAGAGTCAGCATGGATGCAGTAAGCTCGGTTCTGAGCTGCTGGGCTAGGTCCCCAAAGGCATTCACCCTGCAGGGTGAATTCCACAAAGCCACACAGCACGGGCTAAGGGATGGACTTTAGTGAGGAAAATAACAATTTACAGGGCCAAGACAGAGAAAAAGAAGGTACCATCCTCATGTTATCCAAGAGGAGAGCTAAGGGCCAGAGCATTGTGTGGTCTCCTTAAGGAGAATCACGACCCCAGCTGGCCTCCCTCCCTATAGGGCAAGCTTGAAGAAATACTGTAGCCAATGGGGGAATGTGCAAGCTGCTAAGCTACAGGTGGCTTAAATTGGGGTGCAGTGGTTTACAGTTTGGGAATGCCACCTGCTGTGTAATGTTTAAAGCTCCACTGCTAGGGCGAAGAAGGCACTGGCTCCATGAGAACCTGAGCTTGAAAGCAGCCTCTTCCTTAGAAGGGGGACACTTCAGCCACAGCTAACGCATTCTCCACTCCAGGCAACTGAGAATGAACTGCCAAGGTCACAGTCTTGCTCACTGCACTACAGGGGCTGCTGCAGTAGTTTGGAAAGCATTTGGCAAACTTTTCAGTAAAAGGCCAGATAGAAAATAGTTCTGGTTTTGCAAGTCATACGCTTTGCCACAACTATTTATTTGTGTTCTTGCAGCATGAAAGCAGTTGTGGACAACATGTAAATAAATGATGTGTCTACAAGGGGAGGACCCCCAAAAAAACCCGGAATTATTTTTGGGGGTGGGCTCCTTGTAATATAGGCTTTCCCTACTAGTTAAGTGTTCTAGGAACCCATCGGCGTCAGTGTACCAGCTAGTGTTGTGAGAGGGTGCATTCAGCTTCAGTGAATTTTTTTGGAGATTCCTTCAGTGCATTTGCCCATTTCATGATGGGTGATTTACATGCATATTTGCCCACACCATGCCGAGTGTTCAGCAGTTTTTGAGCAAAAACAGCACGACCCCTGTGCCCCACCCTCCCTATTTACCCGACCTCATCCTGAGTGACTTTTTTGTTTCCCCAGATGAAAAAAGTCCTCAAAGGGAAAATGTTTTGCTGATGTGGAAGAGGTAAAACAAACAAACAAAATGGCAGAAGCACTAAAAGGCAGCAAAACTGACAAATTCAAAAACTATTTTGAGCAGTGGAAAAGTGTCTCGATAGGTATATTACATTAAATGGAGAGAACTTTGAAGGTGACAGGCTTAAACATGTGAGAATATACATAAATAAATTTCAGTTTTAATAAATAAATTTAATAAATAAATTTTAGTTTTTTGGGGTCCCCCTCATATGTTCCAGTAAAACTTCTACAGAAGTGGGTAGCAGGCTGAATCTGGTCATTCTGTCATGAACTCTCAGAGGGCTCCCTTGACCCTATGCTCAGCCCCCTCATCCCCCGCCCCGTTGCTTTCCCTGGCAGCCCCATTTGCCTCCCTGGCTTCAGTTACACTCGCATATGGAACTCTGTTCAGCTGCAGCTCCGCATATCCAAACGCCTACTGGAACTGATTACCCTTGTCTTCTTCCCAAAGTCCCAATCCTGGAAAATGGCATCACAGTCTGTCCTGCTGTACAGCCCAGGATCAGGGACTCAGGCCAGACTTCTCCCTCCCCTCCACACTGATCCATCAGTCATCCTGTCTTCACTCCTGCGGTTCTCACTGCATACCAGCACTGTCACTGGTGCTCCCACAACAGCCATTACTAGCATGATTTAATTGAGTAAGAAGGGTTTAGAGCAGGAGCTCCCCAACCCTCAGGCCTGTAGGTGCTTGTCTCTACAATAAATAAAAAAACTAGCTAGGCGTTATGGCACGTGCCTGTGGTTCCAGCTACTTGGAAGGCTGAAGCAGAAGGATTGCCTGAGCAGTGGCCGTGAGCGTGCCACTGCACTCCAACCTGGGAGACAGAGTGAGACTCCAACTCAAAAAAGCAAAAAATTTTTTTAAAAAATCCTGATTTATTTCATGGTTGCAAGATCTCTTCCCATCTCTCTGAGGATATGTTGCTTTTTAAAAGTTTCGTTCTTCTTGCAATTTCCTCCAAGCTGCTTTTTTCCCCTATTTGTTTTGATCTCTATATTCCATGTTAAAGGTGCTCCTCATCTTGGTAATCCTTGCTGGTCTACTCATATACTTAAGAGTGGGGCCTAAAAGCTGAATGGAAGTTGAGTGCCTGACTGGGGACTGTAAACTCTGAGCTTTATTTTAAAGCAGGTTTTCTCAAACTCTGCACAGTGATATTTTGTTGCGGGGGAGGGGTCTGTCCTGTGCACTGGAGAGTACTTAGTGGCATCCTCAGCTTCTACCCAATGTGTGCCAGTAGTATCTTCCCTGCTGCCACAACCAAAAATGTCTGCAGACGTTATCAAATGTGCTAGAGGGTGAAGGAGTAGAAGCCAAAATTGCCCCCAGTTGAGAACCACTGCTAGAATGTGGTCTGGTTGGTTCATTTATGGAGGAATTTCTGATGCCACAACATCCCATCTTTTGTCTAGTACCAGTCATTTTTGCCACAGATTCTCCTAGTTGTGGGTCTGGATAAAGGTCTGGTTGCCAATGCCCTGGGAGCAAAAGGGAAAGATGTCTAGACATCTCAGTATCTGGCATGCACATTCATTCAATCCTTTAATCAATTTTTAAGGCAAGTTAAGGCCTTAACCAGTAGGCTCTCTGCTAAATCAAAGATCCTTAACATGCTAAGGAAGGTCTTTCAGAATCTGGTTCCTACCTACCTGTCATTCATACGTTATTTCACCTTACTGTATGTCAGGCACTTGCGCTGGGCATGGAACAAGAGGCACATGGCTCCTGTCCTTACAGGATATATATTCTTGGAGGAAAGACGAGATTAACAAATAATAAATGCCTGTGACTGATGGTGAAAGAAGGCAGTGCAGTGGGCATGAGAGTATACTTGCTTTGCAGGAATTGGACAACTGTCCACCATTTGTTCATGCAAGAAACCAGGGAGCTGCCCTTGAATTCTTACTCCTCAAGTCCAAACCACTTGCCAGTCTTATGCAGTCTATTCCTTAAATGTCTCTCACAGTTATTCTTAGTCCACTGCCATAACTACAACTCAAGTCACTGTCATCTCCTATCACCTGCCACAGACTCCTTAAAAGCTCTTCACTCCTCAGACATGCTGGCTCCCTCCAACCCATGATCTTCAGGGCAGCCAGAGAGACCTTCTAAAATATAACTCTGATCATACCACTCCTCTGCCCTAAACCCCTAAAGGTTTCCCACTGCCCTCAAGAGATACTCTAAAATCCTCATCATCATTTGTAAGACAATAAACATAATGGTAATTTTTGCACACCGGGGGTCTGGAGTCGAGAAACCTGAGTTCAAAACCAGACTCCAGAGCTTGATGACTTTGGGCAAGCACCCTCTAAACCTCTGCCCTCTCGGGTCACCTGCAAAATATAACAGGAAACAGAATCCCTTCCACCAGTTGGCTCGAGGGCACGGATTTCAGCCAGCTTCTCGGGGTCCACGCTCCCTCTTTCTCAGTGCGTCCCCCAACGGCTCCGCGGGAGAGGACAGATTCTGCACCCAGCCCGACCCTGGTTGCCTCCTCCTCCATAAAATGGGGGTGAGGGCAGCCTACCAACAAGGCAGTCGAGGACTAAGGCAAACAAGGCAAGACGGCTGCGAGAGGCCAGGCGTGCTCCATTCCCTCTCCTCTCGCAGGCTCTCGTCTGCGGTGACTTCGCCCGCTCATCCTTCAGGACTTGGTTCCAGCCTCCGTTCCTCGGGGCCTCCTCGATCCCCGCCCAGTCCCCCGACCCCAGGCCCTTCCCTCAACCCCTACCACAGGCAGAGTCCTGCTGCGGTCGCACGTCGCCCCCAGCGGCTTCAGCACCTGCACCCCTTGCCAAAGCTCCTAAGAACGCACATCACATCAGGGACCCAGCAGGTCCCACTAGCTGTGATGCGCCACGTGACGCCACAGGAAGCGCGCCGGCCGGGGGCGTTCCCCACAACCCTCCGCCCTTCAGCGCTCGGCGCTTTCCGGCCTCTTCGGCTAGGCCAGAAAGTAGGCGGAACTCAGCGACCCGCCGCGCGGTTTTCCGGCAGGACCGAAAAGAAACGCGCGCTGAGCGTCGCGGGAGGCGCTCCTGGGTTCCCCGCTCTCGCGACATGGCCTTCAATTTCGGGGCACCCTCGGCCACCTCGGGCACTGCTGCAGCCCCCGCAGCCCCCGCGGGTGAGTGACGTCCCCGGGCCTTCTCCCGGGAAGGATGGGGAGCGC